AGCATTGCTAATTCATCTTGGTGTAGGGAGACCCTCACCGGTTTGGCAGGCAGCTTCAGGTCTGCCCTGCTGTAACAACTAGTGCTAATATTAATCCTGGATGAGCAGGAGGTTTGGGCCTTTTTTTAAAAAAATTTCTTTTAACGTTTATTCATTTTTGAGAGATGGAGACAGAGTGCGAGTGGGGGGAGGGGCAGAGAGAGTGGGAGACACAGAATCTGAAGCAGACTCCAGGCTCTGAGCTGTCAGCACAGGGCCCTACACGGGGCTCGAACTCACAGACCGTGAGATCATGGCATGAGCCAAAGTCGGACGCTTAACCGACTGAGCCACCCAGGCGTCCCGGGCCTTTTTCTAGAAGAATGGCAACAACTGGATCATTAGTCCCTCCTATGGTCTATCATTCCACCCTCAGATTCGTTCAGACAAGAGCAAAGTGTCTCAGCGGCTTTGCAGTGGGTCCCAGCCATTATCATGGTTCTTTGGGGGAGATATCCCTGAGACAGCTTCCATGGGAAGCCACAGAAGAAATCTAATATTTGAACTCGTAAGAGTTCCTGGGATTGGATTTACAATGCCGCTGCAGGAGATCCGCTGGAGAATGAGAAACTGACCCGAAGAATTCTACATAAACTCTTATGGTCAGTTCTCACCCGCCAAAACTTACACTGGAACTAGATGAAGTCTCAAGAGATGTTATTTTGATAATGGGCAGCAAATGCCCCAGATTGAGGTAGATTCCTTTAAAAAAAAAAAAAAGTTGCTGCCATGTGAGCCATGCCCAAGTCAGCAAAAAGGTGAAAACCCAGTAACACCAGCCAGAATATAAAGTGGCATGGCTACTGAGTCAAGGGGTTCCTAAGGCTGAAACAGGTGGTATTAGCCATGAGGATTTTCACCCAATTTAAATTGTTGAACCAGGCAAAAGCACTGCAAGCTCATTTGGTTGAGCCATGAGCAGACACCATACTGTTTGAAAGTAAAAGTAAATATAAAGCCTTACTGGCCTGGAGAAGCTCTTTTGTCCTGTGTCCCCCTGAACCCTTCCTCTTCCCTCTACCGTTGCCTCAGCTGATGTTAGTACGGATGTTTTATGGACCTTCCAGGATCCATAATGTCCACAGGCATCTGGCATCAACCTTCAAAATTTCTGATTCTGCTCCCATCCCCTTATCCTAGTCCACGCACATAAGTAAATCAGGTTTGGTCACCGAATACAGCTGTCCTCGGAAAGGGATCATTTCCTCCTAGCTGCTTTCTGGGTAATGATCAGGACACAAGGGATGAGGTGATAGGGACCTATTTTGAAAATCTGAGATTTCTCCATGACCATTCCTGGGCATGGTATGTCTTTCTCTCCCCTAACGGCGACTCCAGGCCAGCATGGTTGGCACATCCTCCAGATGGCAGCCCCGTCAAAATGGGGCCTGGGAGATTCAGACTTAACTCTGGTTCAGCCACCTGGATTCTCTGGCTGGACTGACACGGTCCCAGATCATAAGGATAGTTGCCATTTGGTCGAGGACGCCGTCATCAATCCCCTATCACAGGCCAATGTGGAGGCCGCAATGGGTCTGTGTAACTTTTGTTAAAATGTCCAGGTTACTTTTTTTTTTCTGAATAAAAGGTCTGAGTATGATTAGGGGATGATTGAAGCAAAGGTGAAATGATCAATGCCGAAAGTGGATGCAGAAATTTGAGGCAATGGAGGACAGGCAGCAGTAGCACCTGGGATGGGAGCATCTCAGACCCTGAGACACATGATAGACAGAGAGAGAGAGAGAGAGAGAGAGAGAGAGAGAGAGAGAGAGAGATCTGAATGATCTTTGTTTTTCCAAATCACCTCTGGAGTCTTCCTCATGAAGGAAAACCTCTGGTGAGATTCTCCCAAACCATTGCAAGGACTTTCGCGCCCCCGGGGGGCCCAGGGGCGTTTGGGGGGGCTGGGGGCCTGATTTTGTCATCATCTGCCTGATGACTCTGATTGTGATTTGACCACTAGTCACCTTACCTTTACAGGGGAGTCAATCAGAAGAGGCAGAGGATGGTCCCAGCTCCTGCACCTCCCACAAAGATGTTAACACATCCAGATGTCTCCACCCCTATTCTTACAACCATCACTAATAGATAATAGATATCTATTATAGATAAATGCCCCCCAACTGCCCTCAGGCAGTCCTTCTATAAAGAAAGACTAAACTCAATTATTTAAACTCAGCCGGGGAAGTTCAAGGTTTACCAGCTGGCCAAGAGGTAATGTTGGATGTTCTGTCAATGTCTCCCTTTAAATGATATAGGTCCTACTTAGCAACCCCCACAACTATAAACAACACTTTCATTTCATGGTCATGATGTACATATGCCCTCGGGACTATACTTGCTTTGTGGAACTAGGACATTAAGCTCCCTGCCTTCTGAAAACACAATGATTTGCAGCTTTGCCATGGTCATAAGAAATCTTCAAGTGGTTAGGGAAGCAACACTAGTAAATGACGAAGCCCTCACAACTAAGAGATCTCTCCCAAAAGATGCCACCCTTGGTTCTCAAGAGAGATTCCCCAAGAGATAACTGACTTGTTATTTATGTGCACCCTGTGTACACCTATCCCTATATCAGGACTCATCCGATTAGAAAAAGTGGTACAAAAAATTAGTCCCTGACTGTGGTTGAGGTGATCAGTGCTAGTGCCTCATCCCCGGGAAGCATTCAAGTGGGCCTCAACTCAGCAGGTAAGGTTGCTACAGATGAGAGAATTGCCCTAAACTTCCTCCTGGAGGGCCAAGCAGAGCCGGTGCCATCACAGATACATCCTGTAGTACCTGAATTAATGTCTCAGGCCAAGTGGAAACACCAATACAGAAATATAAGGAGAAAATCCCCTGACTTTCTAAGGTAGAACCTGATGATATATGGGATTTGTTCAACTGCCTGGATCTGGAACCCTGGGAGGCATGGTCGGGGTGAATTCTACAGGTTGGTTTCAGCCTACTGGTTTGAGTCCTACTGATAGTAGACTAATTAGATGTTGTATTGTACAAATTGAACAGATTTGGTCTCAGCCTCTCTTGGTCAGATTCATTAGAGTAGCCAATAGAGTGGTAGACTCATCAGAAAAGTTTCCAGAGTATAAGAGAGTGTAGATAGATGTGCCTATCTTTTAGTATAATAAAGATAAAGTTTACTTTCAGAGCAAAGAGCCGGCAGGGTAACTTTTTTTTATTATGAAATATTTGGTTTCTCTAAGCTCAGGGCTCCTTCCCTTTATATGTACATGTGTCAGCTGGCCCTTTCTGCGTCACCCTGTGGGAATTGGAGCACAAATACTCATGCTTTGGTATTTACTTTGCGAGTAAGAAAGTCCTCAGCCTTTGACCCTGGAGTCTCAGGTCTTCTGCCAGGATCCATGAAATTGTAGCAGCCTAACCTCTTAACTTGTGAGTGGGGTAAAATACCACTCTTCACAGTTTTCGACATTAATCTGTCCTATTTGTTTTGTACCTAATGGACTAAAGCTTTCCATCAAGTAAATCTAGGATAATCCTGTTCCTCTCCACCCACAAAGGAAGAACTAATGAAGGACCAGGGTGATGTTTGGTGTCCTTCACAGCTTTCTCCCCATTTGTGGGTTGCCCGTGCTCTTTAAACAGCCCTCTCCCAGGGGTAAAATGACCTCAATGGATCGCTCCAGGCTCTGCCTCTTGCTCTCTCTTGTGCCATGCTATCTCACCCCTGCAGCCCGTTTCTTCTCTTTGTCCATGTTAGTTATAGTGGCCATTGTTGCTTGGCTCTCTAGTATCCATTGTCTATCATTCCCCCATCCTTTCAGTTGAAGCTCCTGTGGGAACCCAATACCATTCAGACAAATTTCAAAGCATCCAGGGGAAACGAACCCTGTCCCCAGCTTCGGACGTGGAATTGAGTGGTGTAACAGCAACACATTCATTCTCTTTGCCAGGAGATCTATTCTGGCCAGTGAGATCTTAGAGGAAATCTGAGGAAGAGCTTCTCAGAAAGTTACCTTTCTCTATTAAAAGATAGCCACAGAAAGAAGCACATCCTATTTCCAGTCGGGAGGTTTGGAGCTTCTGTAGCCATTTGATCCCAGCTTGCAAATAAGGCACCATTCAGGATGGCAGAACAGGGAGACGACCATAATGTCGTGATGTTCGATCAACTGTGAATCCCACTCTCCCTCTGGGAGATAATGCATTTCCTGAATGTTTAAGTCTTCTTGAGTATGGGATTCTATTACTTGTTAGCATACAGTGAACTAAGTTCTGGGCACTCTTCTAAGTACCTTAAATGAACGTGTGTAGTTAAGGCTTATAACAAACCTATGTGTTTATTATTTTCTTCACTTGGAAGACAAGGAAATCTAGATACAGACAGCGTAAATATCCAGCTCAGGTCACACAGCTACTTAAATGACAAAGCTAGGATTTGAACCCAGATCTGGCTCAGAAGCTACAGATATAACCACTAATCTAGCACTTGTCACTATGCTGTTACTTGCGGTCTAAAGCATTTCAACTGATACTAACTGTTCTTTGCTTCTCAAGGCTACCTCAACTGACACTTAGGCTTTGGACCCCTTTGACCTCCAAGCTCATGGCTGCAAGCCAGTTTCATCCTCCCATGTCCACCTTCAGGGCCCACTGCTTGCCCAGAAGAAGAGATTCAACATTAATATCTAACTTCATCTCTTATTTGAACACCTAGGAAGGCAGCCCAAAGTTAATACATGAGTTCTTATTTAGCAGTTTTAAGCACCTTGATATGACCAACGTGTTCAAAGGGCATCTGCGGTATTGACCAAATAATGCCAACTACTGTCTGGCAGTAACCGGGAGCTCTTATATTTGCCCTACTTCTGTCGAGGAAACAGACAAGCAGCTTCTCAAGCCTGTCTCAGGGATATACACACACACATACACACACACACACACACACACGCACGCACACATATATCTACACACATGCACACAGCACAGTTACTCACCATGTATGACATCGGGCAATTACCAGATAGCAATTACCTTTGCTCCCCTTCCTTTTGTCTTGGAAGTCCCTTCTCCTCTCCTCATTGACTGTTCTGGCTACTGGTCACATTCTTCCCAGCCTGTGATGAAGGGGAAATCTGGACTTTGCACTGGACGCTTCTGCAGCCCACTGTCCCTGCCCAACCTCTCTCCATCACTATTATCGGTAATGTTTCAGATAAATTGCCAAAATAAATTTTTTTTTTTAAATCACTGGAGAAATGAAGGCAGAAGTGAAAGGTGTTCTAAGGCTGGGGACAGAGGGTATCAGTGGGTGGATCTGTTTGATGAAATCAGGAGTGCTCTATTGCTTAACATTTTTACAATAGAAATGTTGAGTAACTCATTTCCACATTTTCTCCGAACCACAAGGGGTGTGCCCTTGAGGGAAATGGAGATAGGAAGAGTTCACCTTTGAGAGATTCTTAAATGTTACAAGATTTCCTTAGAGCTACATGTGGAGAACTTGGCTTTTTTTCCAAGCCAAAAAGCTTTTGTATTATAAACATCCAAAGCCTCCTTTAAAAAAGATCTTAAATGAAGCAGATGGTTCAAACTGATCTGAATTTGGAGCTCAAAAAGCTAGAAAGTCTCTTTTGTAATTCACACTGGACTTTGAAGATAAAGGTCAGAGTCTTGAGAGGTCTCCTTTTCACATGGATAGTTGAAGAAGAGAATGCTAATAGGGGGTTGGGATTTTTCAGTGTGTGAAGAAAGTATTTATTTTATATTTTAAAAATCCAAGTACTCTTTTCTCTAGACCAGAGAGAGAGAGAGAGAGAGAGAAATGATCATAGGTATCAGAAAAAAAGACGGAGAACAAGGATGAAAGGCTGTGCATTCTATTAGACTTAGCCCCTAAGACAACTCTATGAACCTAAATGCTTAACAAGAACTGAATGCTGAATACATTACGGAATACTCACACAATGAAATACTACATAATGATGTGAGTGAGCAATTTACAATAACGTGCAATAGATCAATCTCAGGATACTGGGTTTCGGAAAGATACCAGATGCAAAATAGTACATTCTGCATGACTCATTGACAAGAAGTACAAAGCAGAGAAAGCTAATCTATGCCATTAGACATCAGGATGGTGAGTACTTTGGGACATAATGACAGAAAGGGAGCACCAGGAGGATGTCAAAAGTCAGTGAAATGTTCTGTTTTACAACCGAGGGGCTGGTTAACATGGGTGTGTTAAGTTTGTGAAAATTCAGTGTAGCTTCAAAATTGCAACAAGTCTATGAGAATATAGTTATTACCATTTCCATTTGCACATGGGGAGTCTGTGGTTCTGAGAGGCTGATGACTTGGTCAAGATTAAGGATTTGAGTCAGGATTTGATCTAGGCTGCCTGCTTCCAGGGCCCAGGTACATAACTATTCTGAGGAGTTTCTGTTGCTGCATATCCTGGCAACATTTGATGTCAGTTTTTTGGATTTGGACCACTCTAATAGGTGTATAGAGGTATCTCGTTGTTGGAATTTGCAGCTCCCTAAGGATATGTTGTACATATTTTCATGTCCTTATTTGCCAACCGTATATCTTCTTTGGTGGAGGGTGTCTGTGCAGATCTTTTGCCCATTTTTTTAACTGGATTCTTCATTCTCTTTTTGTTGAGTTTTAAGTGTTCTTTCTATATTTTAGATAACAGTCCCCATCAGATATATCTTTTGCAAATATTTTCTCCTGCTCTAGGCCTTTGTCTTCTCATTCTCTTGACAGTGTCTTTTGCAGAACAGAAGCTTTTAATCTTAGTGAAGTCCAGCTTATCAATTATTTATTTGATGGTTCAGGACTTTAGTCTAAAATAGTCATTGCCAAATTCAAAGTCACCTAGATTTTCTCCCATGTTATCTTCTAGGTGTTTTATAGCGTTGCATTTTATATTCAAGTGTGTGCTCCACTTTCAGTTAACTTTTTGTTGGGTATAAGGTCTGCGTGTAGATACGTTTGTTGCTTGTGTGTGGATGTCCAGTTTTTCCAGCGCTAATTCTGAAAAACTATCTTATCCCCATTGTATTGCCATGCCTCATTTTTCAAGAGTTGATTGGCTATATTTATGTGGGTCTATTTCTGAACTCTCTATTTTGTTTCATTTACCTTACTTTTTTTTTTTTCTCCAGCACTACCCTGTCTTGATTACTGTTACTTTATAATAAGTCTAGAAGTTAGATAATTTTGTTATTCTCCTTTAATATTGTATTGACTCTTCTAGGTCATTCACCACTTTATATAAATTTCAGAATCAGTTTGTTGAGATCCACAAAATAACTTGCTGGAAATTTCATTAGGATTTCATTAAATCTATAGATGAAGTAGAGAAGAATTGACATCTTGACAATATCGAGTCTTCTTACCCATGAGTATGGAATATCTCTCCGTTTATTTAGTTTTTTTAAAATTTCTTTCATGAGAGTTTTTTAGTTTACTTCATATAGATCATGTACATATTTTGTTATATTTATACCTAAATATTTAAAAAATTGGTTCTGGGGAGCCTGGGAGGCTCAGTGAGTTGAGCATCAGACTCTTGATTTCAGCTCAGGTCATGATCCCAGGGTCTTGGGATTGAGCTCTGCATTGGGCTCCATGCTGAATGTGGAGCCTGCTTAGGATTCTCTGTCTCTCCCTCTGCCTCTCTCCCCCACTTGCATTCTCTGTCTCTAAAATTAAAAAAAAAAATTTTAAGAAATATATAAATATCTCCTAACAATTTTTTTTATTCTAATGTAAATGATCTTTGTGCTTTTAATTGTAAATTCCATTTGTTTGTTGTTGGTGTATAGGAAAGCAGCTGACTTTTATATATTAACTTTGCATCCTGTAACCTTGCTGTAATTATTTATTAGTTCCAGGAGATTTTTATTGATCCTTTCAGATTTTCTGCATGGATAATCATGTCATAAATGAAAAAAAAAACAGTTTTATTTTTTCCTTTCCAATATGTATACCCTTTATTTTATCTTCTTGTCCTATTGCATTAGCCAGGACTTAAAGTGTGATATTGAAAAGAAATGGTGAGAGGGGACATCTTTACCTTATTCCTTATCTTAGTAAGAAAGTTTCTAGTTTTTACTTGTAGGTTTTTTGTAGATTAAAAAAAAATCAACTTGAAAAAGTTCTCTTGTCCTGGTGTGTGAGAGTTTTTATCACGAATAGATGTTGGGTTTTGTCAAATGCTTTCTTTCTGTCTATTGACAAAATAATGTGATTTTTTTTCTTCTTTAGTCCTTGATGTAATGGGTTATGTTAACTGAGTTTTGAATGTTGGATCAGCTTTGCATTCCTGGAAGAAACCCCACTTATTGCAATTGGTCATGCTGTGTAATTCTTTGCTGAATTCAATCCGCTGATACTTTATTAAACTTCTGGTATCCATATTTAAGAGACATGTTAGTCTTTGGTTCTCCTTTTTTGTACCATTTTAATTTGGTTTTGGTATCAGGACAATGTTGTCTTTATAAAATGAATTAGAAAATACTCTCTCCTCTTCTATTTTCTGAAAGTGATTATATAGAATGAGTGTTAATTGTTCTTTAAATGCTGGGTAGAGTTACCTAGTGAAACGATATAGACTTAGAGATTTCATTTGGGGAGGTTTCAAGATTACAAAGCCAATTTCCTTAATAGTTATGAGCTATTCAAATGGTCTATTTCATATTGACTAATTTATGGTTGTTTGAGCTTTTTGAGGAATTGGTCCATTTCATCTAAGTTGTCAAATTTATGTATGTAGAGTTGTTCATGATATTTTCTTATTATCCCTTTGATGTCTGTAGGGTCTCTAATGATATCTCCTGTTTCATTCTTGATATTGGTAATTTATGTCTTTCTTTCTTTCTTTCTTGTCAGTGTTGCTTGAGGTATGTCAATTTTACTGATCTTTTCAAAGAAGCAGCTCTTTATTTATTTTTTCTATTGTTTTTCTGTTTTAAGTTTCATTGATTTCTGCTTTTACCCTTATTATTTATTTTATTCTACTTGCTTTGGGTTTATTTTGCTCTTTCATCTCTAGGTTCTCGAGGTGGAAGCTTAGATTATTAATATAAGACTTTTCCTTTTTTCTAATGTATGTTTTTGGTGCTATATATTTCCTTCTCAGCACTGTTTGAGCCATGTACCCAAATTTTGATATGCTGTATTTCCATTTTCATTCAGTTCAATCAATGTATTTTTGTTTGTTTCTCTTGCGACTTCTTCTTTGACTTGTGTCTTACCTAAGTGTGTTGTTTGGTTTTCAAGTGTTTGGAAATTTTCTTGTCATCTTTATTGATTTCTAGTTTGACTCCATTGTTTTTGGAGAGACACTGTGTGATTTCAGTTTAGATTTGTCTTATAGCCTAGGATACAGTCTATCTTGGCATATGTTTCACAAGTACTTGTCAAAAATATGTGTTCTACTCTTGTTGAGCGGAGTGTCGTATCAATGTCTCTTAGATCTTATTGGCTGATGCTCTTGTTGAGTTACTTACTAATTTTCTGTCTAGTTGTTCTATCAATTGTTAAGAAGGGGGCCTTGGGACACCTGGGTGGCTCAGTCGGTTGAGCATCCGACTTTGGCTTAGGTCATGATCTCATGGTTCATGAGTTCGAGCCCCACGTTGGGCTCTGTGCTGACAGCTTAGAGCCTGGAGCCTGCTTCGGATTCTGTGTCTCCTTCTCTCTCTCTCTACCCCTCCCCCACTCACATTCTGTCTCTCTCTCTCTCTCTCTCTCTCTCTCAAAAATAAACATTAAAAAAAAGAAAGGAACCTTGAAATTTCCATCTGTAACTGTAAACCTGTCTATTTCTCCTTGCAGTTCTATCAATTTTTTTCTTACATATTCTGGAGCACTGACATTGGTACATATGTTTGTTTTAATACACAGACTGTGAGGAAAGACTTAGCTAAAACAAGGACATGAACTTTGTCCCATGGGGTGACAGGCTGATATGACTATGCCAGGCACCTGAGAACGACAAGCATTTAAGGTACAAAGGGCAAGTTCTTACTTCACTGGACAAACCATCACTTACCAGATGCCTCTCGATATTGCTATTTTCTGACTGAAATCTCTGAAATGAATCTCAGGATAGAAGTCTCCAAATTCTCCAATGCCACTTATGATTATCTTGAAATGGAGTCAACCCCACGGTTCTTAATAAGGGCTCTTAAAAATGAGTTTTTAAATGATGAGTCAAATGATTTATTTAACTCAACTAGGCATTATGATTTCCATTTTTCAAATAAGGATACTGATGCCCAGAACATTTAATAATTTGCCAGTGGTCACCCCACCAAGGTGACTGGGTCCAGTCCAGGAGCCTGTTTCCTCTTCACTCCAAGTGGTCCCTGCTGTTTGGTTCCCTGCTGTTCAGGAGACTGTATTTGCAAAGTCTGGGTGGCTACTTTGTGCTAGGCTCTGAGGGGGATAGAGGAAAACAAGACAGGGGTTTTTGCTCTCAAGCACCTCACGATCTTAAAGCCTCAAGTGCTACCATTTAAATAGTAGTTTAATTCTTAACTGCTCACGTTTCTTGTTGTCTTCACCTATTCACCCTCAGCAGAGGAGGTAAAGCCGTGAAGAGATGGATTGTCTTTCCACAGTGTTGATGAATGACTTGGTGGAGTATAACGTGAGAAAACAGTCTGTACTCCACATTGCTTTAACAAGAAATGACGTGTTTCTTTAAATAGCCGATCCTTCTCGGTCACTTAAGGTATCATTTGATTTAACAAGTTTAACGTGCTACAGGTTTTGGGGGGAAACATACATTCGGTTTTAACCTTTAATCCGATGGCCGAGTTGAAGGAAGCTCAGTCCTGACAAGACTGTGTCCTGTGGCACAGGCTATGGGGAACTGATTGGGTCGCTGTTCGCCTTAACTTTCTCGACAGGTGTTTTGCTTGGCACATGACCTCCCTGGAAAACGTCTGGTCCAACAGGCCCTCACATAACCATTCCACTCAAAGCAAATCCTGTCCCTGCCCTTTTACGCCTCGGTTCTCACAGCCCACAGTTTATTTAAATCTTTCATTTCCTTTGAGGGTCAGAGCCAGAGCCACAGCTGCCGCGGAGCCCTCCTATCCCAATCCAGCCTGTGGGGGTTTCCTCCCCCGTAGTACAGAATGGAACTTCCTGTACCCTCACTCAAAAACATAGGAAGAGCACAGCATAACGGTTAAGACTTCAGGCTGTTGCTTAGGCTTCTGGATTCAAGTTCATCACTTACTGGGTAAGTTATCTCAGCCTCAGTTTCTTCATCTGAAAATGGAGATAGACCCCACAGGTTAAATTAACTCCTAGGAAGGTGCTTGAGCAACCAAACGCCCGTCAAAAGCTGAATAGACAAACAGAATGTCATAGATACATACAAAGGAATATTATTCAGCCCTTCAAAAGAACAAAATTCTGTCACATGCTGCAATGTGGATGAACCTTGAGACATTATGCTAAATGAAAGAAACCAGACACAAAAGGACAAATACTGGGTGATTCCACTTAAACGAGGTAACTAGAATAGTCCAATACATGGAGACAGAAAGTAGAATAGTAGCTACCAGGAGCTGGAGGAAGTAGAGAAAGGGGGTTATTTTTTGTGGGGTACAGAGTTTCAGTTTGGGATGAGGAGAAAGTTCTGGAGATGGATAGTGATGATGACTGCATAGCAATGTGAATGTACTTAATGCCACTGAACTGTGCACTTAAAAAAATGACTAAAGTGGCAAGTTTTAACAAAAAAAAGTGCCTGATGGCACAAAGGCATTCTGGATTCTGTTTTCCTGGCCATGGAAAATATTTATAATAATCTTCCAAAACCATTATATTTCAGCACCCCTATGTGTAAGTTATGAATCTTGGAGCAATCATTACCCACAAGTTGAGAAATGTCACCCTAATCCAACTTCAGGAGACATTTACCTATGTTGCTAAGCATTTATCTGGAAATTTTCATAAACAGTGGGGAAATACACACACACACACACACACACACACACACACACACACACAGATTCCAATAGCATTTATAGTGCATAATCACAATTAAGAAAAAAGTTCTGGGGCACCTGGGTGGCTCAGTCGTTTAAGCATCCAACTCCTGATGTCAGCTCAGGTCTTGATGTCCAGGTTGTGCACTCAAACCCCATGTTGGGCTCCATGACGGGTGTGGAGACTACTTAAAAAAAGAAGAAGAAAAAGAAAAAATGAAGTAAGAAAAAAAGAAAAAAATTTCAGGAAAAAAAGGACTGGAAGGATATTCACCAAAATGACAGCAGCTATATTCATTTTCTCTTCACATTTAATATATATCTGTAGTTTTCAAATTTTAAGAAAGTGAGGAATTTTTAGAAGTGCAGAAGTTACTTTTACAATCAATCTCTCTCCCCTCACCCGGGCCTCCCCCTGCCTCTCTCTGCAGGAGGTCCTTCCCCTTTCCAAGCAGAATACCTCCCTGTGGGCCAGCCTGGGTAGAAATCTTTGTGGGATTGGCGATGGCCATCTATGATTTAAATGATGGCCTTGAAGTCCATGGTGAGCAATGAGTTCCTCAGGACAAAGGTGCGATATCAATTCAAGAGATCCTAAACTATATTTTAATTTGATAATAGAAACAATAAAAGCCTAAAAGTTTCATAAACACAGGTTTATCCTTTTCAAAGCAAATGTTAAATTACTAAGATAGCTTAGATTTTATTCTCTTCTATTATATGTAACTAGCCTTGGGAAGACTGTCGATTCAATTCAGCGCATACTCATCACTTACTATAGACGAGGCAGTTTGAAGAAATGCAAAGCTGAACTTCAAACCAGTCGAAGAGAAAATGTAAGTACACAAATAATAATATCACAGTTTGGAATATGGTCAACTCAGCAAAGGCAGTCAAGTGCTGTAGCATGTCCATAATAATATTTTATACATTTAATACTTTGGAGTCATGATAAAGATTATAAATATAACTATTTGGGTTTTCTAAGTAGCCAATCAAATCTTTAACCATTAAAGAAATTCACTGGAACAAGTAAGGTTTTCAGTGAGTAACATTTCCATTTGATTTAATTTTCAGAGTTAAGCATCTCAGTCTGTAATGATTATTCTGAGCTGCTATAGAAGTGTAACTCATTCTTTGATTCTCTAACATTTTCTTCTCAGTAGATGTGCTCAGATAAATTATTTGCCTTTGATTCTATATTCCAAAACCTTTTTCTATGTGAAACTTATTCTGTTAAGATAAGATTAAATCTCCATTTCACAATTTAAGGAAAGTCTGATGCCCTCCCAAATGTGTCTGTCAAGCCCTTGGGTAAGACAGTGTGGGCATGCTACTGATGCAACCGCTTACCACTGTCACCTTGGATGGGTCACTTACTTCATTTTTCTGAGCCTTTATTTAACAATAGGCCTTGAGTGGTTGCGATAGTGTATGTCATCTACTACTCACTGTTGGTTTGCCAGAGACTAGAAGAGGTGGTCTGCCAAAAAAAAAAAAAAAAGACACTGAAAGTTAGTCATTTCTGTACTTATAAGTTCTTGGAGCCTCCGTTCCACCAAGCATGACACCAGGCTCTTATCTTGTCTCTCTTGCATTCTTGCTCCTCCCAGCTCTCCCTTTCACTCCACCCCTTCCCTTCAGGGTTCCCTGAAGATCTCCAAACTTTACTATTATGAAGAACAATTCCATTTCTTGAACCCTTTTCACAAACTCAGTTTTTGGTTTACTTTTGCAAAGCCTTACCAATTAAGATACTCAATTCACAATGCAAATATAGGATCAGATATTCATCAAACGTTACAGGAGAAAATAGCAACTTGTATTTTGCATGGATGAAGGTGTCAGCTGGACATTGTCAAAGGTATGTGATATTCACTTTTTGTAGATAATCCATGTTCATACAAAGGTAGCTGCAAAATAATTTGTAAGCAATTTATTCTGGATGTATGCTAAGTGTTTCTAAAGATGTTTTGCATTTTAAAATAATTTTTAGGTGGGGCGCCTGGGTGGCGCAGTCGGTTGGGCGTCCGACTTCAGCCAGGTCACGATCTCGCGGTCCGTGAGTTCGAGCCCCGCGTCAGGCTCTGGGCTGATGGCTCAGAGCCTGGAGCCTGTTTCTGATTCTGTGTCTCCCTCTCTCTCTGCCCCTCCCCCGTTCATGCTCTGTCTCTCTCTGTCCCAAAAATAAATAAACGTTGAAAAAAAATTTTAAATAATTTTTAGGGAAGAATTTTTTAGTAAAATACTGATTTGTGAAGTATATGTTGGCATATTATATTTTTTACAAGATCTTCCTCAGATTTTTATGAAAAAAGAATGTGTGGAATGACTTTAACTTTCCCTCTTACAGCTCGTCATAGTTTTTTTTTAAGATTTATTTATTTATTTTGAGAGAGAGAGAGTGGGAGCATTAACGGGGGAGGGGCAGAGAGAGGCAGAGAGAATCCCCAGCAGGCTCCGTGCTATCAGCTCACATGGGACTTGATCTCATGAACTGTGAGGTCATGACCTGAGCCAAAATCAAGAGGCAGATGCTTAACCAACTGAGCCACTTAGGCACCTCATCACCACGTTTATTTGAAAGTACGGTCCATGTACAGAGCAAGAATTTGATCTCAGGTGTTTACACAATCTACATTTCCTCATTTGATGATCTGGGGTTATTTATTCTAGTCCCACAGTTTCGATTATATCTTCCACCTGAATCATGCACAAGTAGGTATTTCTGATTTATCCCCTAAGGGCAGCATCTGCTGGCTTTCTGCTGAACATCTTCCCTTGGTGTACATGCATCTCCAAACCAAACCATCCAGAGCAGAAGTCATCTTTTGACCCCAGACACCCCCACCTAGCGTTCCTATTCTACTCTGCCTCCTGTGGCCATCACCTTGAGTAATTACCATCCTCTCAGTCAATCAAACTTGAAATCTGTGTAATCTCCAGGTTTCTCTAAAATTTCTTGTCAACTTGTTGATTCCATCTCCAAAATGCCTTTTGAATTTTTTCCCTTCTTTCTACTCTTAACCACTATAGCAACTACCCTCACGCAGGCCTCATGCATAGATCTCCTTTCACCTTTGGTCCTCTCCTACACATGGTGCCTAGGAAAGTGTTTCCATAGATTCCACAGTATTGTTGTTCTCTTTGCAATCCTCATATGACTTCCTATCCCATATAGAATGAAGTTCAAACCTTGTATTCAAAGCCCTTTAAATCTTGACCTCAGCCATGTTTTCAGACTCATCTTCAATTTATTCAAAAATATTAAGTCCACTATGTGCAAGGTGCTCTGCTGGGCGCTAATGGTGAGCAACACCAGACATAATTGCTGGCCTCACTGGGCTTCTTCGGGAATATGTTCCCTTGCATCTCTGAATTCAGTAGCCCCAAATCACTCATCGCTAGCCAGGTATGCTTTAGGCTTTCCTCTCTATAGGCTTGTCCTCCACCTGGAATGTCTTTTCCTTCCCCATAGTCACCTGTTGAATTCTTCAAAGACCTGAATCTTGCTTCTTCCAAAATGCTTCCCGGATTTCCTCTTCTGTTTATTCATTATGGTACAGAGTAAAAACTACAAACCTTGTAGCCAAAAAACAGTAGGTTCCAGGCCTGTTTCTGCTACTTATTGACCATGTAAACTGGAGCAGATGACATAGTTCTGCAAAGCCTGTTTCTGCATCTGTAAAATGGAGGCAACAGTATCTATCTCACATGGTTGTTCTATAGATTAAGTAATACAGATAAAGTAATATAATGGCAGAAAAGATGGTCTCAGTCTATCTTTTATGTTATACATGTGTAGAAATGAATGGTTATCCTATCCCCGTAGAGGTGTTAATAATAAACAGTCCAGATAGAGCACAGTTTTTCACCATGGCAGTATCACTTTACCTGTTTTTTGAGTTGAATATTGTTATCATATATTTAATCCTTACTCTGACCCAGTCATTGTATGGAATCTCATTTAATTATCGCCAATCCTATGAAGTATGCATTATTCCCTTTGTTTGATATTGCTTATTAGCAAAACAGCATCTATTTCCACCCTCTTCTGTGCTTTCCCTGGCATTAAAGGGACTGGAGGTTAGGAACTACATTTCTGGATGCAATTTAAATTCTGCCAATAAGATACACTCAAGATAATTTGGAAACGGTAGAGAAGGTTGAGGGAATTCACCCAAAAGAGAGGCAGATACGATGGCTTGGGCAAATGTGAGTTTTTGCAGATCTGGTCAGATTCTCTGTTCTACCAGTAGTGCCCAGCCTTGGAGGCTATTTTTTCCAATAGCTCCACATAAAGAAAATTTGGAGAAGCACTCTACTTGGCTCATTTTGTGTGTCTTAACTAACTACTTTGTTTATCCCATAACCGACCACTGTGGCCAAGGAAACAAAGCTCCCTAAGAATATGCAGCTCCATTTGGATCAAGTGGCCATAGAAGATAGAGGTACAGTTCCTCTAAATAAGTGGAGTAACACAGATATGGCCACTGAAGAATCATCTTGGCCTGAGTTTCCAAAAAAGCAGTCTTGCAAACAGGTTGTTTGTTTAAGAAGGGATCCTAAGCAGTAGGAGTGAGAGTCTGGAGGAATAAGACAGGGAAGGGAAAAAAAATAACCCTAAAATTCCATGATGCATTATTGATTTGGCAATCACTGTGGGTAACTGGTACTCAATTCTGCCAGCATGTATTATTACTTTGATTTGTTAACTTGGCTGAAGGAAGAAACCTAGAGATTCTTACTTCACAGGTTGGGGGACCAATGTGAAGGCACTGTCAGCTACTAACTATATGTGTCCCAACTATACGCTCATAAATGAGAGAAATAACCGCAGGGTGGGTCCAACAGATCTACTGAACCCATAGTGAGACATATTTGAGCTAGGACTCCATTTATCACTTGGCCTCCCTATGACCCCATTTTAAGCAGAGAATAACAAAGGTACTTCAGGTCTCTTGATTCATTACGAACACATAGCCCTGGTCCCTATATTCAACAGTTCTTAAAAAGTCTGACAATTCCTTTTTGCCAGTGCATATTTACCCGATGAACAGTCTTATATCCCTCTGGGAAAGGATCATGGTAGTGTTTATCATATATACTTGCAGTAGCATTGCATTGTCTTTCCTCAAAGGGATCTACCTCTCCCTCAATGAATGGGCTTTGGGTCTGGGAAGTGACATACTTAGAAACTGGGTAAAGGGCTCTTTTTCTCTGAAGTAAGAGCTGGTGAAGATTTCTGTTCTCCGGCTCTCGATTTTTCTGTTTTATTATACAAGTCAAGTAACATTCTGGTTGGCTCTCCATCTGGCTCACCCCTAGGAACACCATGGTTTGTTGTCTAATTCCTGAGGGTCAAAGCATACTGCGTACTACTTACTATAGCCTTGCTGCCCATTAGGACGTATGCCCCCTTTATTCTAACAGGTAAACACTGCCATTGGTGTCTGCCATTCCAGAATCCTACCATTTCCTCGATAGTAGGAATCTCAGTTTCATGGCAACATCTTCTGTCAACCCCAGCCTATACAAGACAGCTGTCACAGAGCTTCTCAAATTAACTGGTATCCCTTAGCAATGCGTTCCTCACCGCGTTAGTGAGAGAAGTGTCCTCTGGTTCCTCCTGGGGAACGCTGTCAAGTATCGGTTTCTCTGATCACAGATAATAACCTCATTCTAATATTCTTATATCCCCCAATCTTCAGACCCCTTCCTCAGCACTATGCCAAGTCAGTTTCAGCACCTCCATCTCATTTATCCTAGGCTATCAGAGTGTGCAAGCTTCAAAGAGCCTTCTCAGCAGCATGTTGGACACATTACTGGTGTCCTTGACAG